CCACTAAAGTTCCTCAATTGGTTGTGTCGCCTGCTGTCGGCGATTCGCGTCCTCATCGCGTACCACTATTTACAATCGAAGAACATAACTTTGTTAATGCATCAACACAAACTGAACTCATAACCGATGCTAATCAATCGATGGCACTGCAGCCATGTCCACGTCAATCAATTCCACCGCGCACACTGCAAGAATGCCTAGAAATTCTTCAATCTCTCGATGAATGGGGTGGGCCCGCTAATCTTACAGACGAAGAAGTTCTCTTAATCGTTAACTCCGCTGGCAACCACTGTCCATTGCATAAAATCGAGTCAATTTTAGATGACCCAGTTCGCGGTGTGCGCATTCGTAGACAAGTGATTAGCGCGCGCGCTAAAGTGCCCGCCGAACGGTTGGAATGTCTGCCATATTTGAATTTCGACTATCGCAAAGTAATGAATGCCTGCTGTGAAAACGTACTTGGCTATGTGCCCATTCCAGTTGGTTATGCAGGTCCTTTGCTGCTTGATGGCAGTAAATATTTTGTACCCATGGCTACGACCGAAGGCGCACTGGTCGCCTCAACGAATCGCGGTTGTAAAGCGCTATCCGTGCGCGGAGTTACGTCGTATGTGGAGGATGTTGGCATGACACGTGCACCCTGCGTACGCTTTGCAAACGTTTCACGCGCAGCCGAAGCGAAAAGATGGATTAATGATGAAAATAATTACAAAAAAATCAAATGTGAATTCGATTCAACATCGCGCTTCGGTCGCTTGAAGGAGTGTCTGATCGCAATGGATGGACCGCAGCTGTATATACGTTTTGTAGCGTTAACCGGTGATGCTATGGGTATGAATATGGTGTCGAAGGGCGCTGAGATGGCGCTGAAATGTATCAAAAAAGAATTTCCCGATATGCAAATTATATCGTTGAGTGGCAATTTCTGCTGCGATAAGAAGCCGGCGGCCATCAATTGGATCAAAGGACGTGGCAAGCGTGTGGTAACTGAATGCATAATTTCCGCGCAAACGCTGCGCACTGTACTGAAAACGGACGCCAAAACACTGGTGGAGTGCAATAAGTTGAAGAATATGTCCGGCAGTGCCATGGCGGGCAGTGTAGGTGGTAAGTGAGATTTGATATACAAAGCTTTAATTCTCTTTTACTAATAATTCTGCTTTATTAATATGCTTGCAATTACTTTCATAAAATTTCATTTTCCTAACCAATTCCTTTTGCTCGCGCAGGAAACAATGCACATGCAGCCAATATGGTGACAGCCGTTTTTCTCGCCACTGGCCAAGATCCAGCACAAAATGTTACATCGAGCAATTGCTCTACGGGCATGGAATGCTGTGGCGATAACAATGAAGACTTATACATGACCTGCACAATGCCCTCACTGGAAGTGGGCACAGTTGGCGGTGGCACAGTGCTGCCCGGTCAGGGCGCGTGTCTCGATATGCTAGGTGTGCGCGGTGCTAATCAAGAGCATCCTGGAGAGAATGCAAAGAAATTGGCACAAATTGTATGCGCCACAGTGATGGCGGGTGAACTGAGTCTTATGGCAGCGCTGGTGAATAGTGATCTCGTAAAGAGTCATATGCGTCACAATAGGTGAGTTTAAATTATACACATCTACACTATTTTAATTCAATGTGTATATGTATAAGGAGTGCGTTATAGCAATTAGTGTACACTTTTGCTTATAACTTCTTTCATAAGCAAACAATTTTAATTATTATGATCAGGTTAGCTTTGGAAAACATGTCAAATACTATTTTCTATCACTTTTCATTACTCATCGATTGTTTCACGGCAAAAATGTGTAGCTCTCGGTAAGAGTAAAACTTGCATTAACCCTCAGAAATTTTTTAACTGCTTCTTGTGTAACCCAGCAGAAAATCTGTAATTCCTTCTTGTAGAAGTTGTGTGTAGAAGTTAACATTTCTGGACTAGGTCAGGACTAATTCACGACTAGCTTAGGACCGTTTCCGGTCTAGTTCGGGACTAGTTCACGACTATTTGAGGGCTATTTTGGGACTTGTTCTGGACCATTTCGAGACTGGTACAGTACTATTTCAGGAACATGTCAGGTTTAGTTCGCGGCTCAGCTCAGCTAGCGGATTGTTCCGAGACATTTGTACAAAGAGTGTAAGGAGAGGCGGGGCTGAAGGCCTACAATGTACAGAAAGTTCAAAAAAAGTTTGAAAATTGAAGCAGTGGCTACTGATTTATATTTACTTTACATACAATGCACTAATTTCTAATGATGCACTCCTTAATTTGCCTTTATAAATATGTGTCTCTTTGTTTGCATTCGTTCGTGCTTGCAGGTCTTCCATAGCAATTAGTGGCAAAATTAATCCTCTGAACGTCACCGTGTCAAGCTGCAGTAATATCAGCTAAGATTGCAGCATACGCTCCACTTGTTAGCCCAACAATTCTTATGTATACAGTTATTGTGCAAGCATGAGTTGTAGATACGCACAAATTTCGTTAGAAAAAAGCACAACGGCAGCGCCGAAGGCAACCTGAAGGTAACAGCAATCCCGAACTATGAACTGTGTACAGTCAAATCCACAGACTATCGCTTAACGAATTAGCCTATTGAGGTGCGGGCTACTGGATCGCTTAGCTGACTTCTTCTAAAGCATATGTATATGTTAAAGTGTGTACCCTCTTTTTTAAACATAGAAAAACAAACGCTGTTGGTAAAAATTATGCGTAGCAAAAGATGCCAAAGTATTTGAAAGTGATGTTTTACTGATTGTGAATGAAAAAAATATATATATATATATGTATATATTACTTTATCACTTTCTTTTTTAAAAAAATAAAAAGTAAAATATGTATGTTATTATTAAAAATGAAAGAAAAACACAAATATAGTAGTTTGTTAAATTTGCAACGACAATTATATTCGAACAGAATTATTTCTGTATATAGTAGAGTAGTGAGAGTAAGAAAAGAAAACAGAAATGCATGCAAAATGTGTTACCAACTACTAATTAAATACATACATACATACATGTGGTGGCATTTAAGCTTAGATCAGAAGAGCTTCAAATAAATTTCAAATCTAAAACTGGCTAATATCAATGGAACAAAAAATATGAGTACATATAAATATATGTATAGTTATACAACTCATAGCAATTTTTAGGAATGTCTCTTAGTCGTATTACAGTGAAGCGTTACAATGATTAACTTTTCAAACATCAAAAGTTCAAATAGAATTCGCATATTCATATGCACGGTGCTGTATGAATAAAAATTTTTTATAACAAATCATAGCTATTAAAATCAAAAATAAATATCGTTGACTTGCTTCAAAAGTGTATGAACTCAAATGTGGTTATTTATAAAATGATATACTAAAAATGTTCACTAATCAGATCGTCACCTGAAATGCAAAATAATATAACAACATTGTCACTGAAATGGGAAAGGTCGTGACTAATTTTGTTTTTTCATAGCAATCAAAAAGTGAATTTTGAATTTTTTATAAGTTACGACTTTTTGCATTTCAGTTGCGATGTTGTTACGTTATTTTGCATTTCAGGTGACGAGATACACGTGTGTGTACTGTCTTGTGCAAAATATGAGAACTTTTGAAGAATGTGTACTACGTAGCAGTACATTTTGAGCAAAATACTTCATATCACAAAGCCTCATAAGCCCTGCATAAGTAAACTATCGAAAATTATAAAAATGGACTCTGATGCTCCAGGGAAATACATATTTAGCAGGAAAAACAACCATCAGATCGTTAAATCTTACATGTAAGATTACAAAGGATCGGTATCTAATCATTCAAATTTTCAAATTACGCAACTAAATTGGATATTAACATCACATCGCAAATGCCTAGCGTAAATAATAATATCATCATCTACGTACTGTAGTTTAGAAATAAGAGATGCTGCTACTTTGTAATTTTACACTTAAGATTGCAATAGCTTCATACATACACGACTACATCCATTGTATTTATTGTAAGCGCATACGCATGTACCGGATGTTTGTACCCGAATACCGAATGAATACCTGCTCCTTTCGCGCATCACACATACGAAGCCGAAGCCTTTCATGTAATCATGTTCAAATCTGCTAACGTTCATAATATTAGTTTAACAGAAATTTTAACTAAGTTTTTCTCTTATTTTTCAAATTATGTTTTAATTGTTGATTTTAATTTATTCAACCAATCACGCAATATGTAATACGTATGTACATATGTATGTGTATATAAATTGTAAAAAGTATTTTATATAAGTAATTTTATTTTAAGTTTAAAAACGTATGATATACATACATCGTATGTAACAGCAAATCGCTAAGCATAAAAAATAATTTATTAGTCTAAAAAGCGCGTAAAATTTTTGGGATGTTCCTGTAAGATTAAAAATTATTAAAAACTGCTTATCGAAAAACAAAAACATTTTGTTGTAGCAAACGTGTTTGTAATTAAAATTAAAACATGAAAATTCACATAAATTCATGGTCATTTGAACTGTAATACTTATTTTTTCGCTTATGTTATTATCATTGTTTGTTTGTGCAATAAATGTTTTTTTGTTTGTTTAGTTTTTACAATCCCTGTGCAGATAATTGTTATTCTAAAGTAGTGATGTTATATTGGATTTAGTGCATACTTACGTAAATAATATTGTGGCTGAATAGAAGAGATGTGTATCAAACAAGAAAAAAATCATTAGATTATAGAATACATATTTTTATTATTAAAACAAACGACAAATTAATGTGTTTATACTACTGTTCAAAGGCACCTTTCGGTGTGAAAGCAGGTGAGTTGAAAAATTATTATCGGTCGTGTTGATCTCCTAAAAATTATATTCATACATCGCACAGTGGTTCGGATAGCAGATCTAGCTGGACGAAAGTCAAAATTTTTTTGTTTTTAAAATACTTAATGGTACTTGGAATGCATTCCTGACAATACATTCAAATAGAAATTGCATTTATTAAAGCATTAACATATGAAAACAAACAAAAAAAGGTAAGTCAACGCCGCCTATTTGAGAACTCAATTTTAAAAGCTGAAATTTAACTTAAAAGATTGCTAATTGCACTCACAGATATTTGCATAATTGCAAATTGACTTTATAAACAAAAAATTACACTTATTCCGCTATAGATTCTGAGGTCATAACGCAATTTATGTCCACATTGGTATAAGCAAATTTATTCTGAAAAATCGGGTTGTGTGTTAAAACAGAAAAATACTTGGAGTTATAAAAACTTTGGTTATGTAAGAGTTAAAAAAAAATAGTAACTCGCGAATTTTCTTCTTTCTGAAATTAAAAAATTTTACAACAGGCATGCAAATCTTTAAGCACTGTTACATATTTTTTTCTGAAATTTATTTGTGTTTCTTGCTGTGATCTTAAATTTTAGTCATGGTAAATCTTAAGAAGTGAGTTGTTTGACATTTGGAGAAGTGTTGCTGAAACTTCTAAAAGACCGTGTCCGTGATTATGTGACTGATGAAAATTCTCGTTCCGAAGTAAATAAAGTAAATTAAGTAAATGGCTTTAGATTCGTAATCAGCAACCCAGAAAACGCCCAGATACCCAGTTACATAGAAATCTACCGATTTTTTTTAATTTTCGTCCGCCATATTAGATCCGCCATTTTGAATTTTTGGTAAATGACTTTAGATATGTAATCAGCGACTCAGAAAACCCCCAGATACCCAGTTTCATAGAAATCTACCGATTTTTTTTTAATTTNGTTTTAGATAAGTGACTTCAGATTCGTAATCAGCGAGCCAAAAATCCCCTAGGTAAGAAGTGGTGTAAAGATCCATCAACGATTATTTGTTTAAATAGTTTCGTCCTGCTAGATTTGCGATCCGAACCACTGTGCATCGTTGACAATTGAGGCCATGAGGGCAGAGGAGCCTATCAACAAAATTTTTTTTAGTACTATGAGAAAGAAGGATCCATAAAAAACTTCAGTTCAACAGCAAGGTAGCCTCTTCTACTTAAAAATTATTTTTTTTTCGCAAATCTATTCTGCATGTTACGATGATTTTGTAACCGGAAAATTTTATTACCAAAACTTGTTATTCCAGATACTCAGCGATGCAGTGATGAAGTTTTGTAGAAATTCTGGAATTGTATATTTCACGCTATCGCTATCGCTATTGTGATCGCCAAAAATCTGCAAAAGAATAACAGGCGCATCTAACAACATGCAACATCTACATAGTTACTTGTCCTTAATGCTGCCAGATTTGGTTGATTGCACTTTGCATCTATTACTTTTTCATGCCTCACTGAAATAGTACATTTACGGCACTTTTTTCTCACTTGACGATTTTTAGTAATAACTCGACTCCAGCGCCACCCATTGGCTCTTTTTGAATAGCATTGCCCTTACCATTACCAATACATACCTCGAATATGAGCCAAATCGGATCATAAATACGATTTTTAGCAATAACTCGACTCCAGCAATACCTGGCAGATCAAACTGTGAACCTAAACTATCCAGAGACCCCCTCAAACACACACAAAAAAATTCGTTAAAATCGGTTCACTCACAAACAGATGTACGCAGGAATTATATATGGGAGGTTGCATGAAAAAGTAAACCTTAGTGCAAAAACTTTTTTTTCTATAAAACTAAGAAACTCGTAGATAAAACATTTGTAAACATCTTGAGTTAACCAAAAAATAACAAATTAAAGCTTTAAATTCACTTTTATTACCTTTTTTACGTTTTGAAATCAAGTTCTAAGTAATTTTCTTGAGTGAATTTCAAATGGGTTGTGTTGAAAGTAGAGATGGGCGCGGGCTTAACTTTTCCGGTCCGGCCCGGCACGAATTAAGAATACGTGTTCGAAAACTCGCCCATACACGCTTGGAGAAAAGTCATTAAGGCCCGGAACGGCCCGGCACGACCGTACCCGATTAGGCACGGATTATATGGAATTCCGACAAAAAAATAACTTTTTCGAAAAAATTTAACTTAGGTATTATTTTTTACAGAAGTTCCATGATAAATTTCTTGTTCCGAAAATTAGAGGCATTTACATAACCAGCACCACATAAATACGCGTTTCAAACTTCGTACAAAAATGATAAAAATTAAATTAAATTACACCCAAAACTTTTAAACTTTTTATTCAGAATTTTTGGAAAAATTCTAGGTGTGCAGCTTTATAGCCCATTAAATGTAAGTAGGTAAAAATCGCGGTCTCGCCCATTACTTATATACCATAGTAATCAGCTGATTAAGTTAAGTGACATTTTTACCAGTTTTGGTTTTTTCTTTTGTTTATTTAATGTCCAAATTTTTTTTGTAGTTTCAAACTTCGTATAAAATTATAAAAATTCAACAAACTTTAGCAATTACACCAAAAGCGTTTTTTTTAGAAAAATTCTAGGTGTGCAGCTTTATAGCAGTTGTATGCCACACTCCCTTTTCAAATAGCCCCAATTTTTTTATGAGTATGGAATTGATTTCGTATACATAAATATATCCATACCAAGTTCCAGTACTCTATCATGACAACTTGCAGAGCTATGCAGTATGAAAAATTCGGTTTGTATGGGGGGTGTCACGCCTCCTTCAGATAGCGGTAGCATATACACAAATTGCATACAAATCTGCCTAGCCGTTTTGGAGCGATCGACCACATGAATTGATAATTACGCAATTGGAAAAAAAGATTCAATTCAATGAAACACAAAAATTGTTGACTTGTTCGGATTTCTTCTAAGAACAGCTTTAAGCTGAAAAATTAAATTTTCCA